ATATATGGAACACACGTACAATCTATTGTCAGACTGTAATTAAATGGCGACATAAAGTCGGAGAAATAATGCTGCCATCCATCCTCCTTAATTTCGCGTGTAGTGACAGCGGGACAAGACAGCGGCGGAGCTTCCGTTCGTTCCCAGAGGGAGCGAGTTTCCACCGAGTTTGGAAGCAAGTTGGCGCAGAAAACTTTCGACGCCTTTGATAAATATGGAAATTAGAAAACCTTGGGTTAACTAGGGTTACGCTAAAAAAAGAAAGGAAAAATACGCGCGCCGAGAGCGCGGTATGTGATTTCCGTCCTCGGAGAGAATTCAAAGTTAGCGCTCCTTGTTTCGCATAAATTGTCCCATTAGAATTTGCATACATTTGTATAGCACACGCTTTTTTTAGTTTTTTTTATATTGCAAACTGATTGTCGCGCATGGACTTTTGTGACTGACTGTATCGCGAAAGTCGGACGCGCGTTTTTGTTTTTTTCCGAAATTCTCGGAAGATTCTTCGGAAACGATGGCGGCGCGCCATTACTATCTTTGATGCAACTCGTCGAGGCGCGCGTTTTCAGAGAAACCGCGGAATTTTCATCCCACTCCAGATTACTCGGCGACCTATCGCACCCACCACCCACGTTTCGTCTCCCGGAGTGAAACGTGCCTGGCACAGGTCCGCGCCGTGAGAGATGATGCACGGATATTACCTATCCGCCTCGCTCCCTCAACGCCTCTTTTCGCGACCGGGTCGAGAGTGTATCCGGGGTTGGAGGACAAAGGGACCGGTTTTGGCTCGAGTTTCGAATAGGCGCGCGCGCGCGCGCGCAACGCGCACGATCGACCGACGTCTCATCAAACGACGGGGGGTACTATTTTCGCGATAGCTCTATTTTTTCTTCTTTTTTGTTTTATGTGCAGTTCGCTCAGGAAAATTAACGTTGACGGACCGCGCGTGTACGTAAGTGATTTTTGGACCGAGCCGAAATCGAATTCTCCGGCGATCTCGGGATGCGATAATTGGTGGAAATTTTCGTCGTCCCTCCAATCGCATCGATTCAATTAACTCGAGCGAAATGAAGCCTGCTGAAAAAGTCCGGAATCGCGGTCGGCTCTCTATTGGCTCCGTACGAACTTTCGTATTTAGGTCGGGTTAGACCGACGAAAACTTGGAATTAATCGATGCCGCTTGATGATGAGGGAAAATGCTCGCGCGACGCGTGAGAGGAGATGCTCCAGTGATCGAGAATATTGAAGCCGCACGAAAGAGAGAAATAGAGAGGCGTGGAAAGCCTCTGAAAATTCCATCTACCGATAATTTTGCGCATTTTGTTCCGTTCGTTATTAATCAAACAATTTCGAGTTTATTTATCAGCTTCTCTTTTTTAAAACATTTTCTCGAATATTTTTTTTTCAGACATTTTCTTTGAAATTCGAACTCTAAAAACCGTCACATTTAGAGACCATATTAGCTTCGGAGCAAGTCAGTCAGTTGCGAATCAGTCGATCGTTTGCGTTTCTCCGAGTGCGCCAATTGCCGACCTGATTTGGCAATTCGGACGCGAAGTTGGTTTTGGAGTTTGCCCATTAATCTTAGCTGTTGATCTGAATCCAGTGAAAATGTGATCCATGCGGCCGTTTCCCAAGAGGGAAGACGAACCAACTCTGTTGCAACACTCGCGTGTTTGTACATTATATTTCCGAACTTCCGTTATGCGCGGTAAAGAGAGAGATAGGTAGAGAGAGAGAGAGAGTTACGGAAACTTTTTCGGGCAAACAGAGAGAGAGAGAGAGAGCGCAAGGTATGATTTGAATTATTTACGAATATCTCAAAACGAGAAATATACGACGTATACGGCAGATATACGACACAGCCGGTGCGTGTATAACAAGCGCGTGAAAAGTTCTCAACTCGTACAACATTTCGCAGAGCATATAAAGTTACATTTTGTTTTTATTTACGAGTCTACCCGCGAATAGGACAGACATTTGTTTGTTGAGTAATTAATTATTTAACGAGTTACGTATAAATTCAATTAATACGACGTCTCGCGCGGGAATATCCGTCGCGGATAAAAGAGTTTATTATCTGAGAGAAAGAGAGAAAGATACAAACCACAAGACCGCGATAATTAAGACCGTGATATAATCTGTCTGTGTGGAGATGCAACTCGATTTATAACACTAAATGATCTCGTCAAATACATAACTCTCGCATAATTCCAGAGGTATACATATAAGTGCTAATTCAGCATCTTGATATCTGTGTTCCGACGATGCTAAACGTCTATTCATGCACGCTCGGCGCTGCGTATAAGTACAAACGCGTACAGTGCATATATACATAACATAACCGGGAATATTAAGGACTTCTAAAGTACATAATATATATATATGTACATATATATATATGTATGTATATACAAATATATACATATACTATACACATATATATATATATATATATATATATGTATATATGGATGCATTTCGGGAGAACACGAGCTAGTACACACAGATATGGATGCATTGTGATATCTACCTTGGAAACGCTTAGACTTTGTACCGGCGCTACCGTGATGAATGCGCGCGAATGTGTGAAGATGTACTGATGTGCCGTACATACATGCATTACGCGTTTTGCAGCTTGTAGAGCAGTGATGGCGCGGTGACAGATACTGCATTCGCGTAGATATTTCACGTAAAACTTGATAAATTACACAGCTACTTGTGTTTTCTCGAAGACATTTCTCTCCTTTTGTTTTTCAATAAATTTACGTAATTATGTTTTGCGCGTGCGTGTTGTAACACAGTAAAAAATTTCGCTGCGACAACTTTGAGCAAAAGGAGCCGCGAAATGACGTCGCAAACTACATTCGAATGTTCGAAATAATCGAAAAGCGAACAATTGAGTATCTTAATTATTTCTAAAGTGCGTTCGCGACACACCGCCAATACTCCATCGAACAAATAAACGATGCAGAACGATTTTAATGAACAGAACTTGCCGCGAGTGGCGCGCACCGATTCTACTTCCTTTCTTCCTTTCATCTTTCTCTCGCCCGCCGCCTGTCTGTTCTTCTCGCTCTCGAACCGGGGGGGATTATGTGCACGCGTCGAAAGAACTAAAGGCACTATTAATCGCGATTGCGCGCGCTAATTGATATTCCGCGTTTACTGTTCGCGGTTTCGATTCAGCACACACACACACACACAGCCGGGCACTTATTCGCACTCGGGGATATTCACTCCCGACACGAAAGACACGAGAAAATTAAAGCGCGATACGTTTCGGCGCGAAAAAAAAAATCGCGGCGAATTCTCTTTTTCTTTCTGAAAGTAACACGCCGCAAAGTCGTGCAAAAACCGCTGTAACGCGCGCCGCGATAACTACGTACGTACACAACAGGATGTCGCCGCAACGCGCTGGTCGATTTTAATGAGTTTAATAACGGCTTTCGAGTTTCTACAAACGCGTATCGAATAAATTTATTTATCGAATTAATTCGAGTTATTTCTGCGTTTGTGGGCGCGCGACCGTGGCTGGTGATTATATGTAAAACGACGTCGCGACGGTTCAAATTATCGTTTTTTTTTTTTTTTTTGTTTCAAAGTTATTGTAAAAAGCACATACCCCAGACGGGACACCGATTGCGATAAAAACAATGAAAGGGCAATGAATACGCGCGAAAATTGTATTTAAAACGTTTCTAAAGAAGAACTTATATATACGAAAGAGGCACATTCAATCGGAGTAGTTGCAGCGAGGTAAACTTTTATCACTTAACCGGCGAACTGTACGTAAGTAATGGCCTTAGCCGTTACGAGGAAGAAAACATTTATCGTTAAGTATACGAGGTATTAGGCTGTTTACGAGGTACATGAAGGAGACAGTAAGTGGTGCTTATCACAAAAATGCGCCGCGCAATTTGTCTTCCTCGTGATCGTCCCTTGCGGTTTAAATTTCCTCGGCGATATTTATTTCAACGATATTTATTACCCGAGTGTGTGACACACAGCCGAAAGGCAATGAAAAAATATATACATATATCTCCGCACTGTAAATAAACACACACCAGTAAAAATATGAAATTGTCGGAAAAATATGAAATTTGCAAAATTACGTTGCGATATAAACGCGCGCGTGAGAGTAAATTTGCGTAATATGGTTTTGAAAAAATAAAGACAGCGAAAATACATCCGGGTTATACTTTAAGTTTCCTCTTAGCGCGCGGATTGTATCTCATGAGGAAACGCGAAATAAAAACGCGAGAGAGTTTTTAAACTCTCCAACCGGGTTTTATTTATTTCACTTTTAGAAAGCAATCTCGGAGTTAAATGTGGATCACACACAAAGTTGCGCACAACGTTTTCTGCGGATATTTCATGTTTTTTTTTTTTTTTTTTTTTTNNTTTTTNNTTNTTNNTAANTTNANAAGGGAANATTTTTAGTCACCTTATCGTTGCGCTCTAATATTTCATCGGTTAGCTGCGAACCGATGAGAACTTTTCATCGTTGCCATTACGCGACGAGAAGGAGAACCTAACTTTCTGGCAGTAAAAGATGACTCCGTTCTTATACGAAGTATACGAATGATCACGAGACGCTTGGGAAATCGGGAAAGCTATTTTTTCTTCTTTAAAGTAAAACAAATTGTAAAATAGAGAGACCCACTTTCTCTCTCTCTCTCTCCTCGTAACTTAATTTTTTTCGCATTTTGTTGTGCAGAAATTTCATGTACTACTTCGAATAAAAATGGTTTTAGGAAAAAATGAAATTACGCTTGCGCGTTCTGATAATTAAGTAATCATCTACCTGTTGATTTACTTCGAGCGAGAGAAGAAAAAACAAATACGAATTACTCTCCTTTTTTTACATCGGCATTTGATAAATTGATCGGAGCGGAGAATTAATATTCGCAATTCGACACCATGAGGGCTACAATCCACGACGCGAATGCGCCAGAAAAGTTCATTTGGCGCATTTTTGAAATCGCATTTGTTTTCAGATAAGTTGAAGGCGAATACGGGCAAAAGAGCTTCGGCCGCGAAAGTACGCGGAAAATGGAATAGCATGCGAACTTTATTATTAGAGACAACGGACACATTAACGAAGCGACGCAAAGTTGATCGGAGACCGACCATTATCCCTTAGTTCTTGCCGAGAGTTAACGAGGAGTAAATCGCGCTTGAGGTCGCGAGCAAAAAAAAAAAAAAAGAAAAAAAAACAAGAAGGTGTTGCCGGGAAAATTTGTGAAAGCTCTCGACAAAAGCTCTCAATCAAAAGATGTACAAAGGAGCTCGAATAGAAAATCAAAGTCAGATCATCGTCAGAACTAACGTTTGGAAAAATTTACACGTAACCAAAGCGTTTTCAATCAATATCGAGATAATCAAAAGTTTGCGTTTGTAATAAGAGCCGAAAAAAATAGAAGCAAAAACAAAAACAAAAAAAAAGAGAGTATATCGCGCGGATAAATAAAATCACAACAAAAGCGCGCGCGCACACGCGATGTCTTAAATTGAGAAAGCATGAAAATCGTCGTTCTTACCAAAAGAACGAGCTTTTTCGAACCACCATCCTGAAAAGTACTCTTATAACGGACAAAGTGAGATTGAGGAAAAGAGGATAACTCTTTGTATATAACATCGCTCGGAGCGCCGGAGTGTTTACGGAAAAGCGCGGAGAAATAAGAAAGAGAAACACTTCACCCAGCTCGTAATCTCGTTTCGTCGTGGGAATATATCAGTGAACAAATCGACAGCGGGAAGAGGAACATTACGCAGGATTGGCGATCTTCATCGGATGCACTTCGGGTGCATTCATTCTATTCATCGAATATCATTGAAAAAAAAAAAAAAAAAAAACAATCGATACTGCCGTTTATATATCAGAGTCAATAATCATTTCGCAAAGCGATAAAAATGTAATAATTCCTAAGAGATCAATTGATATATAAAGCTTTCTTCCATCCAAACTCAAGTAATTTTCTCTAATTAATATTAAAGAAAAAAGAAATAAGATAAAAAGGAAGAAAAAATCTGTCCAGAGAGAAAAACGTTAGAACATCGACTGATTAGAAAAATTAAGATCTACATGTTTCGAATTGATGTTACGTCGGTAGTAAGGTGCGAAGACTTAATCTGTAGCTTTTAAAGTAGCAATTTTTCGCAAAAATCTTTTCGGCAACGTTGCTAACCAAATCGTCACAGTGTGCGGATTGGGGCGAATCCTCGGCCACATCGTCGGACGACCGTCGGTGGGGGCCACCAACATGTCGCAGTCCGGATCGGGTGGACTGAGCGACGCTCAAGGACAGAGTCAAGGCGGACAAACGACGGATCAACAGACACCATGTCAGAATGGTCGCGCCGAACCACCTGCTGACACCGCGAAGCAGGATCTCTCCAACGGCTTTGAAAATCGAACGATAGATTACGAGAGATACACTCAAGAAAGAATACAACACACTTCGACCACGGGACAAGCTCAAGATCAGCAATCGCAGCAAGCATCGCAACAACAGTCGCAACAGCAACAACAATCTGTTCACACCACGGTACAGTATCCGTCGGGAAGAAGACAATCGGTGGGATTGCCGGAAGAAAAACACCCTCCAGCGGGTCAACTACCACCTCCGCAATACCAGGACAAAAACAGCGCGGACAGAGCTCAACATGTGTCTCAAACCAGTACCCAGACGCTACCGGTGCAGGCGCAGCCGCAGTTCGCCCCTGATTATGATCAGACTCAGTACTCGCAGAGTATACGGGGTCAATTTGAGGTCAGGTCGCAGATGTATCCGCAAGCGCAGTATTCCGATAGAGCTGGTTACGTGACAAGGGACGTAACCTATCGAGATCCGACTCTGTACGGTCAGAGCGGCGCGACTAATCCGATGTTCACCGGACAGGGTCAATACGTGACGGTTCAGCACGGTTCGCAAATACCTTCGCAATCTGCCAGTCCGCAACCGCCGTACTATTCGGGCGTAGTCGTGCCCCAGCCGCCTGGTTACGCCCAGTTCGGCACGCAGCCTCAATATCCTTACAGCCAGTATCCGCAGACGGTGATAAACGCCGTGCCGTACAATCCGCATGCCGGTATCTACTCCGCTCAGCAATATCCTTCTCAACAATCGCCGAATCCGCAGAGGTTCTCGCAAGAAATCGGCCAGTATCAGACGCAACCGATTATTCAACCGATTGCTCAGAACGTGGCTCACGGAATCGCTATTCAGACAACGGAACGACCTTGCAGAGGACCGAAACCAATGGTCCCGCCTCGGGGCAATTCCAAGATCACCACTCACGATCCCGGTCACAGAAAGTCCGCCAGCGTTGACGTGCCGGCTTTGCAAAAGGCGAAATACGAGCCGAGTCCAACCGCTCAACAAGATCCGATTCATCGTAGCGACGGCGCCATTCTCATGACAGGCGCGTCGTCGATCGGTCCGGATGGGCCTGACAGAAGATACTTGACCACTATTAATCAAAATCCCAGAACGAGACAGGACGGTCTGTATGTAGATACGAACGGTGATCAGCCGGGCAGAGAGAAACTGGTCGACTCGATCGCCACGGAGTGCGGCTTGTACGTCTCCAGATCGGAGCACAGAAAGTCCATTTCGGTCGACGTAACTACCAGCTTTCAGAGACGAAACGACACGATAACTTTTACGTTTCCCGGTGACAGTAATCAAGAGATCATGGGAAGGAAAACTACGACCGTGGTGGATACAAAAAGAGTTGAGACCAATCAGGTGTTTCCCACCGAGCAAAGGAGATTGGATCCGGGTTTACGCGTATCGCCGATGGCGTTCGATGCCAGGCAAGAAAACAGAAAAAGCATAGGAGCCGACAGAAAACCCGAGTGGGGTAACGTGAGTCCGAACCAGAGAAACGCAATTCCCTCAGAGAACAGACGGTCGGATTATTTCGAGGAACATCGAAGATCGCCCATGAATCTCGAAGGCAAAAGAATGGAAGACGTGAGAAGGTCGCCCATGCCATTCGTGCCGATTCGCGAAGCGTCCGCGGATCGCGCCGGACAGAAGAGTCCGTCGTTCGTCAGTCAAAACTTTGAGAAAACCAGACAGGAGCTGGCGCTCTGGGCGGAGCAACGTCAGCGCCAAGAGCACGAGAGAAGTATAAGAGAGAGCATGCAGGGTCCGATGTTCACAACAAGTCCACGTTCCCGCAATCCGTCGGAAGAGAGGAGAGACATCAGATCGATTCATCCGTCGGACGAACGAAAAGATTCGAGAATGTCTCAGTCGGCCTTTCAGCCGTCGGCCATTCCCAATATCAGTCAAAGTACCATAATGGAGCAACGCCGGCATCTGAGGCACGTCAGCGCCGACCTGACCAAGCACATGGAACTCACGAGAAAAGATTTCGATGAGCAACCGATTACAGGCTCCGTGGTGAATCTCGGCTCGGCGGCCAGCACCGCTTCGTCGCAGAGAGCCAGTCCGAATCTCTGTTACCAATATCCGGCTCTCAGCGAGGCAAAGTTGGACACAAAGACCGTGCTGACTGTGGTGACCGACTTTGGCGAGGCGAGTGCCGCTGGCAAACCGCTCGACCAGGTCGATCATATAATTCACAGTCACCGTAAGAGTCATAACACCTCAACTAATTTGCTAACTCACAGCAAAAGCCAGACGGACAACTTGCAGAACACGCTGGACAGCCAGATCGAAAAAGCAGACTCGCTTCAGGTGCAGCAGCAACAACAACAACACCAACACCAACAACAACAACAGATGCAGAATCAACAGAGTCTTGATTTGATCTCCGAGAAGCTGAGCCAATTCGAACGTCAACAGAGCGACCTTCAAGCCAAGTTGCAGTGTCTTCAAAATCAAAATCAACTCTTGGACAAGGTGGCGCAATTTCAACACCAACAGAGCGATCTCCAAGTCCGGCTGCAAAGTTTGCAGAATCAAAGTCAATTAAACGACAAGACTCACAAGATATCCAACGATTTTGCGCAACAAATTCCGAACGACGCTCATCAGATACAAGCGAGTCCGATTCCGAATCATCAGGAGCAGTCGTCGGACAAATCCTGTTCGGCTCATAATCATCAATCCGTGCACGGTCTCCATCAGACGCTTCTGACTACCACGTATCCGCAGAACGCCACCCTTCAAGCCTGTCAATCGTCTGTCGTATGCGAGAAACTGACATCTCGTGTACAACACGACGTTTCCGATCCGAATTCCGTTCAGATACCGAACATGTCGCAGATGCCGTTACCGTGCCTCCCGCAATTCGATCGTGCCGACGCGTCGCGTACTTCGTTTTCCCAGTTTCACCGACTTCAGTGCCAGATCGAGAGCAACGAGGGTGCTTCAGCGACAAGTGTCGGTCTACCTGCCAGCTCTTTCACCGGCACGCTGAAGAAAATACCGCCGGAGAAACCGCCACGAACGTCCTTGATAGTGCAATCTCCGGAAGCCGAGGTAACAAAATTGAAAAAAAAAAACAAAAAACAAAAAAACAAACAAAAACAAAAAACAAAAAACAAAAAAGAAAATCGTATCTCTCGTTAAGCGTTTGAGATTATCCGCAATTTTTCAATTGAATTGAAAGTAATACGAAGCAATTTTCAATTTGTTGTTAATTATTTGAGAAGATTAAATAAAATTTCCGTCGAAAGCACGAAATCGAATCTTCGTTGAAATCACAAACTTCAATCAAAAAATACGCAATTACGCGGTCTCTCCTTTAATACTTGGCCTTGGTTATTACAGTCAACGGTCTTTGAGCGAATAATACGCGGCGAAAAGCTCGTTTTATGTTGTTCGAAATGTCGGGAAATATACGAGCTTGGTTTGCGGCCGAGGAGGAGATTGCGGTGGGGTTGATGGCGGCGAGCTCGTAAGATCCGCACGATGCCCAGGTAGATAGAGATCTCCGCTTGCAGGTTTTTGTCGCGGCAGCCGAGTGGAATGAACTCGTTAGATATCAGACCCCCGATGTTGTCTTTGAAAACTTCGTTACGAGCCTTGTGTACCTTTCGCTCCACTTACGAGTCCAGGCGTTCGCCTCCGTGTGTTGGCGTTTCCTCCTCTCCCCGTCACACACAAATCATAAAACGGCGGCGTTCGTCTGATGGCGACGCTACTCGCTCGGTCGTAAACCGTGTTTCGAA